AAGGGCATTAAGAGACACCAAAGCTACCCTTCAAGTGCCAGTTGTCCAAGGGGACCCTGGAGGAAGAGGAAGGCAGTATGGATGGAAGTGTCAAGACTCTGAGAGCTGTCTGTGGGAGCAAACTGCCATGGCCAGCTCCAGGCTGGGCCTCCCACTGCTGCTGACTGCCCTCCTCGGACCTTCAGAGGCTCAGCACTGGTCTCACGACTGGTACCCCAGAGGAAAGGTAGCCTGCAGCTCATCCCAGCATCCCTAGCATGCCCTAAGACCCCCAGATGGGTGAAGGGGCTCCCCAGACTGAACAGTAGGAAGGTGCTGAGGGAAGCTCCACCTACCTTGAGCTTGAGAGCGTGGCAGGTGGGCAGGGTGGGTTGCAGCCTCTGCTTCCCTCTGAGGAAGGGTCCTGAGCCAGCCCAGATTATCCATAGCCTCCCAAGCGATGCCCTGGCTCCCCCTGCGGACGCTGTGCACTGGGCAGGCAGGACCACAGGCCAGTGACTCCTCAGCAGGAAGCAACCCTTGGTGAGGAAGCAAGCCTCAGCCGGTGGCTCCCCACACTGGCCACCAGGGCCCATACTGGTTGAGGACAAGGGAGCTATGTGGGCCAAAGAGGGGGGGTTATGTGCCAGTGCTGAACACAGGGCTCCATCTGCTGTCCTTCCTATTTCTCAGAATTCTGGACAATTTGTGAAAAGATTTATGTTATAGTAAAAGATTATTAGTCACTAATGGAGTAGGAGATTACTGCACTAGTGGGGTCCCCCAGCGAGGCCACTGTGTCTCAAGGTAGGCAGGCCCCTGGCCAGTGGAAAGAGGCCACCTACGAAGAGGTAGGTATGATATTTCCTACGCAGAACCAAGTGGTCACTAACGTGCCCTAGGAATGATCAGGGATTGCTGAGGTCCCTAAGGCCATAGAAGACAGCAGTGCGGAGATGGACTGTTAGTATTTTGCAAATTGTATTTTAAAGTGTACCAGGAAACACGGTAACTAAACGACAAAGTGGTAAATCTGTATGGCAGAATTTTATCACCTAACAAATTGTTGTGTGCTCACGTCTTACATATCAGATTTGTTTAGGGTGGGCCCACCGCAAGCCCTGGGAGCTGGGTCGGCTAGGCGAGGTCGGGAGTGGGTGGGCAAGGCCGCAATTCGGCGACCAGGTGACCAGACCGTCCGCTGGAATGACCGCCCCTTCTCCCCGTAGACCGGCCCAGAGCGCCGCTCCCTGCCGCCCTCCAATAAAGGTGTGAGGTTCCCGAAATTGTTGCCTCGAGTTCTCTCCTTCGGTCCTCCTCCCACCCCCACCTTCTCTGCGTGGGGGCAGAGGGGATGCGGGCCCGCCCTGCTGGTGGGAGGGGCACGGCGGGCACCGGGCCCCACAGGAAGGGCGCAGCCCGCGCCGCC